AGCGAATCAATTTTATAAGAGACCATCCACTATCTCTCTCTTGAAATTCTTGTGTTTTTGAAATTATTTCCATGGTATGTTCATGGAAGATATTTTCTAAGTCAGAATCTTTGTTCATGATCGTCATTTTACTTTGAAAACTTTTCATATCAATTTCTTCAGATTCATCTTTAAAAAGTATATACTCTGCAAACAGTTCAAAGTTGACTTGCTGAAGTATAACTTTCTAACAGAATGCTGAGATGAGGTAGCAGGGACAATCCAGCTTCACTCAAGAAACTCTCTGGTAAGATCAAGTCCGATCCATCGTTTACATACATGTAATGTAGTATTCTTCCCTTGAATCCCTCAGAAATTTTTTTGACTCTTCCGTCAAGGGGTTGAATTGCATTTCGCTTATGCAACTCCGAACGGACATGATTTGCCCACTTATTCTTTAGCAAGAAACACTTGCAGGATTGACAAAACTGATTTTGGTTATTCATTTTATTTTATTCGTTTTGGTAAAATTCTTTTTTCACGATCACTTTTTTCACTTTTACTCAAGTTGTGTTTGACGTAGCAGAGTATCCCACTTCAAGACTATTTTTGGTAGACTAACTATTGTCCTCGATCATTTATAGTGTTTGAAGTGGGCGTGAACGATAATATTGAAGATGAGAGATGCATACTTAAGATTTTTTTAAATTTGAAAACAATATAGGCAATTCTAGTAGGTTACATCGACTATTCATTGGTTAGAAGAGATGAGAAGTATTGATTTTGAAAAATATTTGATACAAGTGTAACCAATAGGACACCATCAAATCGATAAAGGAGACACAAAATCATAGAATAAAGGAGAGTGTTGGTTAGAAGAGGTCGCACATACTTTGCTGCAGGTGGGAAAGGAAAGGTCATTTTTTAGACACACCATCATACTCAGGTAGCCAATAGGGGACAGTTTGGAAAAAATCATTTCGAGTTAGGGAAAAAACAAAGATTTTCATTTGTTGAATTTCGAGAATGCACATTTTTGGGTAAAAGAAGAGGAAAAATCAAAGATTTTCATTTGTTGAATTTCGAGAATGCATATTTTTGGGTAAAAGAAGAAGATGAAAACCTGTAGAAATTTCCTTATAAATCGTGTAAGCATATTTAAAAGGGTAAGACGATATTGTTGACTTAGATAGACAACATGCATTCAGTTAAAATAAATAACTTTTTGAATGTATTTGACGGAATTCTGTTCAATGCACACTATGTACGGCTCCAGTTCATACAATCAAAACTCTTTGAATGTGAACGAGGTAATATAAAAACATCTATTCATGGAAACCATATGGACACCTGCGTGTGGAGCAATGATGCAGCCACTGAGGGAGTTGATACTTGTGTATGCCATCGAATTTCGGATTACAAAAAGGAAGCACTCAACATTATGAATAAATACTATAATCTAGAAAAAAGAATGAAAATGATTAAATAACATAATAAAACATGTTCGCATACCAAAATAACAAAAGTACCAAAATAAACTTCTGACTTTTTATTTCGAGTTAAAATTACAGGTACGGAGAATGGAAAATATTTCCTTGACTGAGATATGTCGGCTACTTGCGAGCTTGCGCGGTCGTGATTTCAACCCCTATTATGGGAACGTCGTATGAGCTCGTATGAGGTCGTTGGCGTGAGGCCCATGATCTTGTCAATGAGCGTGCGCCTTCTGGGTTGTGCATGTGTCCCTTTTATTGCGGTCAGGTAATTGACAGGTGCGCATGTTCGGGTAGCTCTTGCTTGAATCCCTTTTATGACATGTTTATGACCCATTTGTGGAAAGGAGAGAATCTTAGACAATTTACCAGTTAAACGTTCTGGGGCGGAAACAAAAATGTGTATTTGAAAATATTCCACATCTGAGAATCATTAACTTGTGAGATTTATTTTATTGGGGTTCTTTTGATTTCTAAATTAGTTTTACAATCATAGGAAACATTATTCCCCAACATGATCGGACATGTTCCTCTAAGATAACCATCTTTGAATACTTTGGGTGTGCGACCTTTCACACGTGCACAGCAACACCTGTGATAATGAGGCAAAAGGGTACGTGATCACACCTTTCCCCAACATGATCGGATATGTTCCTCTAAGATAACAACCTTTGGATACTATGGTTGTGCGACCTTTCTCACGTGCACCTTTCTCACCTGACTATTAATTGCACATAATGAGGGGAAGGATACATGATCAATATTGTCACATGGGGATGTGGGGGCGATGGGGCAATTAAGTATACTCTTTATAGACATGATCGTGACATTTTTATGACTTCAAAGCCCATTAAAATCAGTTTTTATATTGGATTATGCTAATTGTCCCAGAACCGCATACGTTAATGAGGGGGAGGGGGGGCGGGGGCCATTAATATGCTAATTGGCCCAGAATCCACGTTTCCCTACTACTAATACAGAGGAACAGTTAAACTCAAAACTTTATAGATACCCACCACAACACGAGGAAGAAGTTAGGAAACAAATAAAAGAAATGGAAGAACAGGGTATAATTAGAAAGAGTAATTCAAGATACTCTAGCCCACTTATAGTAATCCCGAAGAAGATCGACAACTCAGGAAAAAAAGTTTAGGATAGTAATAGACTACAGGAAGTTAAATGAAATAACCATAGACGACAAATTTCCGATTCCGAACATTAATTCTTTTGGATAAACTAGGAAGAGCTCAATACTTCACTACAATAGATTTAGCCAAAGGCTACCATCAGATCTTAGTCCGAGAATCAGACAGAAAAAAAAACGGCATTCGTAACGCCACATGGACTATATGAGTTTATAAGAATACCATTTGGGTTGAAAAATGCCCCTGCTACATTCCAAAGACTTATGAATGAAATACTTAGGGATCACATTAATAAAAAATGCGTGTATCTAGACGATATACTTATTTTCAGCACCTCATTAAAAGAACATATTCAAGCTATTAACGAAATATTCCAAATATTAGAAAAGAAAAATTTAAAAATACAGATTGACAAGTGTAACTTCATGAAAAAGGAAACTGAATTTCTAGGACATATCCTTACAAAAGAGGGCATTAAGCCAAATCCAAATAAGATCGCAATCATAGAAAAATTACTGTTACCACGAACAGAGAAGCAAATAAAAAGGTATAACAGGTTATTACAGAAAATTTATAAAAGATTATGCTAATAACCAAGTATTTGAAAAAAAAATGTTAAAATAAATCTAAAAGACCACACCTATGTCGAAGCATTTGAAAAATTAAAACATTTAATCAGTTCTCATTTTGAAATCCCAATTTTGAAAAAAATTTACATTAACTACAGATGCATCATATTATGCAATTGGATCTGTCCTATCTCAAGACGGTCATCCAATCTGCTTTGCATCAAGAACGCTAAACAATCATGAAAAAAATTACTCAGCAACAGACAAAGAATTCCTAGCAATACTATGGAGCGTCAATTATTTCAGACCATACCTTTACGGGAATAAATTCAAAATATTAACTGACACCAGCCAATAAAATTCTTACACTCAAAACATAAAGGTAAAGATATTTCACCCAGACACCAGAGATGTTTATTAAAATTAGGAGAATATCAATTTGAGATAGATTACTTGAAAGGAAAAGAGAACAGAGTGGCAGATTTTCTTAGCAGACTGGAAGACAGCGACCTTACGAACAAAACCGAAAACGAAAGAGACAATGAATACAAAGATAATATTTCAGACATAAACATGATAGCAAACATTGAAGATAATCTCTCAGCATCAACTGTACACTCAGCCGAAGAAAATTTACACAATCATTTTTATATAAAAGAGGAAATAGTTAACAAATATAAAACACAAGTAATTATTACAGACAGTAAAACAGACGAGTATAAAACAATACATGGAAAATCAAAATATTTATAGCAAAACATGACTTTCCAACAATGGGAGATATTTTCAGGAAATATATACACAAAGGAAAAGTCGGAATCTATTCAGAATTATCGTATCAAGAGTATAACATAGTACAAGAAAAACTAATAGAAATGTTTTCAGACAACAAACAATTAGAATTCATAAAATGCACACTCAGAGCTCAAGATATTGAACATGAAACAGAAGCAGTAAGACAAATTTCGTTTTATCATGTAAGAGAAAGTTGCACTCAGGAATTCAGGAAACATATAACCAATTGAAAAACAAGATTTACTTTCCAAAATTGTTAGAGTTGGTGCAAATGGTTATAAATCAATGCGATTTTTGCAAAGAAATAAAATATGATAGAAATCGTATTAAAAATAAATTCAGTAAAACGGAAACCCCATCAGATAAAAATCAGATAATACACTTGGATACATATGTAATAAGAAATACACATTTTTTAACGACCATTGATAAATTTTCAAAGTTCGCAGCAGTATACCCATTAAATGATAGAAATCATATCACTATAGTAGAACAATTGGAGGAACATTTTACGAAAATAGGCAAACCAGGTAAAATAATAGCTGATAACGAATTTGATTCATTCAGGATTAAAGAACTACTAAGACAAGAAGGGATAGAATTACACTTAACAAAACCGAATAGTCACACTGGCAATTCAGATGTAGAAAGACTACACAATTCACTAGCAGAAAAGTTTAGAATAACATATAAAACGGAAGCGTCGAATATGTCAGTAAAACAAATTATGCAGAGAGCAGTGAGAAATTACAATGAAAGATATCACTCCACAATCAAATGTACCCCCAGCGAAGCCCACAACTAAGATAGAATTGACAAAAATAAAAGAAAATATAGATAGCGCTAAACAAAAAATGTTAGAAAAGCACAACGGCAACAGGGAGCACTATGAAGAAAAACGAGAAGAGGGTTTATAAAGAACTACAAGGCAGTCAGACACAAAGAAGCTCCGAAATTCAAAAAAGCAAATCTCGGTAATATTGACCCAATAAATATTAAACGCCCTTATATATTTACAGAAAATACTAACGACGACTATGTTGCTGACGACAATACTAATGAAATGGCAATAACAACAACAGCGGGAACACTAACGATTCAAGAAATACCTGATCAGGACGGGTATGCGCAAATAGAGATGAAAATCAAGATATAATTATCACAACAGATATAGTAGTACATATAATAAACTCAAAAGATATTGACAATATTTTGAACGAAATAGGAAAAAACATAGAAATGACAAACAATGACAACAAACACATATTACAATCGGAACTAACTGAAACAAAAAACAAATTGTATACCCTATATGGAACCACAATCGCGAAAGAAGAGGATTAATTAATGTAGTAGGTAGTTCAGCAAAATGGTTGTTTGGAACAATGGACGATGAAGACAGGAAAGAAGTTGAGAATCATCTCTACATTTAAAGAAAACATGCAGGAAACAGATGAAGCATTAAACAAGCAAATTTACATAAATACGTATTTCAATGATACAATAAAATACATTGAACAAATAGTTAAATCAGATAGAGAGGAAATAAAGAGACAATTGAATGCAATTAGCAAATTCGAAAATAACAGATACCAGGAGAACTTATATTACGACCAACAGATAAAAATTCAGTTAATAAAAATAAGATTGAACATTTGCAGGATAACGTTGCTTCTGCTAGATACAATATATTACATCCCAGCATATTAACAGATCACGAAATAAAAAAATACAATATCGATTTCAACAAACTAAACCATATAAAGTTAGCTACGGCTATGTTCAGAAATAATCTTTTACTATTCGCAATAGAAATACCAAAAAACTTTATAACAGTAAAAATACAACAGATAATACCGATGCCTAATGAAGAAAACTTTGAAATAGATTAGGAATCAGAACTGATATTTAACTATAAAAATTCAACATACACCTATAAAACAAATAAAAAATTAAAAGAAATGCGAAAAAGTAAACATTGTGTATTTTAAGAAAAATTGCAAACTGATACAAAGAAATGAAATGCAAATATTAGATCTAGACGAAGAAACCGTAGTAATTAAGAATGCTAAAAATGAAACATTATATCAAAATTGAAACAGCAATGAAATTAAAATGAAAAAAAATATTCTAATACACTTTACAAATTGTACAATAGGTATAGAAAATAATTCTTTTACAAATTCATACGAATTAGATAAGAAAAGAATTTTATATGAGAAATCAAACCAAACTCAAAATTTTACTAAACAAATCACTTTTGAGAAAATATTGGAAACTAATAAGATTAACTGGTCGAACATAAGAAAATAAAAAACACATAAAGACATAAATTATTTTTTTAATGCAACCATACTTTTGTCAATAATTGTATTAATTGCTTACATTGTTTTAAAACACAAGAAAATTAAAATTCAGCTCAATAACAATAGAATTCAGGAGAATTCTTATCTAAAAGGGGGAGAAGTTACGTAAAACCCCACTTCACTTCCCACATATGTCCAAAACCCAATTTCTTCTTTACCACCTCTTAATAATAAAGTACAAGAATTGCTTAACTCATTAAATGCTAAATAAACAATACATTAAAGTAATACAGCAAACAGGAAATGCACAGGCTAAGGATCTGGCACATGCCAACCAAAATAAGTTCTAAGAAAATATAAAATCCAAATAAGCAATATAACACAGTAAACAGGAAATGCATAGTTCATCGATCGTTATTAAATTCAGGCTAACTAGAGGCCAACGATCTTACACATGTCGACCAGAATAATTCGTAAGAAAACCTAATAAGCACTTCTGTAAACCTAAATTAAGTTTTCTTTAAAACATTATCAATAAAGAATATTCAGTTGATTTTTGCCCACCAAGCCCGCTTGACGTGTTTTACTTACAAATAATTTTTTTTTAAAACTTCGCAACTCCTTAAACAAAATTCACGTCCGATTCCATCTGCGTCTTTGTTAAAAGAGGTTTTGGTGCGTTACCATTAAAAATCCTTGAGTCTTGCTATTGTAGTTGTTTCTTCTTGTAGTTGTTGTTGTTGTTTTCAGCTGTTTTTAGCAGTTGTAGCTGTTTTTGATGATTTTGTTTTCAGCTGTTTTTAGCAGTTGTAGCTGTTTTTGATGTTGTTGTTTTACTGTTTTAACTGTTTTTACTGTTGTTGTTGTTGTTTATTTTGATGTTTGCCAATTTTTTTAGGTTGAAACTTTAGGTTGAGAACGTTTTAGCTTACTAGCTGTTGTTAACTGTTATGAGCTATTATTAGTGGTTACTATCTGCTTAGCAGCTGTCTATTAGTTGCTTACTACTTGTTATTAGCTAGTTACTATATGTTTAGTAGATGAATACAAGATGTTTACTAGCTGTTTAGTATCTGATTTCTATATGTTAAGTAGATGTATACAAGTTGTTCACTAGATGTTGTTATCTTGTTACTAGCTGTTTAGTATCTGTAAACAAGTTGTTTACTAGATGTTATTAGCTGGTTGCTAGCTCTTTGTTTACTTACTGATGTTTACTTATTATTATAGCTGGTTACTAGTTGTTATTAACTTCTACGTGCTTTTATAGTCTTTTGTTAAGAATGATCAAATTTTTGATCACTAGACGAAGTAAAAATGTACACTCTGATTTTCAATGTGTTTGCTATGTACGTGAGAACGAACGCACAATTAAAATATATGAAGATTGATATAAATCGTAGAGGATAAGTTGTTCACAAGCTGTCTAAGAGCTGTTTATAAGCTGTTTTGATAAACAATTTTGACTCATAATGAGAGATGTAAGAACATATAATAATTTCATCCACTTTAACTAGTATATTGTAAAAATAAAACATTTCCATTTTTCATATTCTGTCATCTTATGTAGGTATAATAAATGTATTTTTAACAACGCTATCTAGCCTTACATCCCATAACTATAGTTATTAGCTACAATAAAATGTCTAGAAAGAGAAAAATATATGAATGTCAAAAAACGATTTAAAACTAACTTTAATTGGGAATGTAATTGAAATCGCTCCGGCGTAATACAGTTAAAACAAAAACACTGTGATTATCCCATTTTCTATCACCATATCAAATGTCTATACCCGCACCTAAGTGACCAATTGTATCCTTTGTCCAAAATGTCTTTGACTTTCACTTATAAATTTGTCACCAATAATTTAAATCTCATTAAGCAAACCACCCATTGCTAACCGTACCATAACCCCAGAGTCAAGTTGGTTACCTACAATTATCACAGGTGGTGGTGTAAGGGATTGCTAAAATGTATTTTTTATTTGCGAACCATTTATAACTTTTATCAACAACACAAATAGTTATGTTACAAAGGATTGCTAAAATGCCTCGACGTAAGGTAATGGAAAATATTCATAAAATATTATCCCTTGACCAAAAAAAAAAACAAAATAATAAATGAAAATTTCTTCTACTTAGATAATACAAATAATATATATTAATTTAACACTTTGATTTTTCCATCAAAATGCCTGATAAAACTAGTGTTTTGACATTCTCTATGATAATATCCCATGAATAATACATATTTCTTATTTGCATATTTATTTCAGAAAATTATTCATTAATCACATTCAAATAATTTTCATAATATATCTTAAATTTTTTTAGATTTTTGTATTTAGTATTCCAATTGTTAATATTAAATGATATTGTACATATCCAGCTCTAATACTCTTTTATTTTGTAGTTGAAATGATTTAGTTATAGTTTCCATTTGATGTGATTTCGCTTCATTAATTTTATCATCTACCTAAAATGTTATAGCCAAATCATTTCCATTTATTGGTTTTGAAGAGTTTTTAATTCTTTTTTTTCTGAACATTTATGTGACTGTGACATCAGTGTCTAGATATATACCTGTAAGACTCTCAACTTCGCTTTTGAAAGCCAGGAAAAATCTCTATCATTTAAAAAGTGACCAAAATTGTCTATAGACATATTTACTATAAAACAAAATGCGAAAATGTTTTCTGTTTTATAATATTTAATTTTTGCTTCCCGCAATTCTTCTCTTATTGAAAAATTTCATTAGTATGGTTATTATTACCAGCAGCTCTTGATGCCATTAAGAGTTGCAATCTTTCAACAAGTTCATTAACATTATCCCAATATATATAGTTTAGTGTTTTCTTTTAGTCTTATATACCAGAACCAATATATTTTTCATTTACTGAAGATGATATTATTGGTTTAATAATTGAAGAATATTTTTTCGAACGATTTCATCTTATTTCACCATCTGGTTGATAGTTTCTTTTGTGAGCACTTGTTTCAATTAAAATGTTTTTATATGATTCTAAATCATTCTTAGTATAATCCTTAGGACTATTATGAAAAATTAAAGAGTATAGACCTGGTGATAGAGTCCATAAGTTTCCACTTCATAATTCCATTACATTTTTTTTTAATTTTATGTGTACTATTACCCAACATTAAAATATTATTTTCTTCTCCTGGTCCATAACTTTTGTCTAAAACCCTTTCTTGCTTTAACTGATTAATGTTGGGATTGTACTTCACCCCAGTTTCTTCATATACACTTTAATTTAAATCATCTGTGTGATACTGTTGTGAAGCATCAGATTCATCTATAAGAGACTGTTGTGAAACATCGGATTCATCTATATGAGAGTTTTGTGAAAAAGCATCAACATAAGCATCACTCTCACTTGTATAATTGTATACTTGTATAATTTAAATATTTATAACAAGGGGTTTGAGTTTGATGAAATTTTATTTTTATTTTTATTTATCAAAATAGACATTAATAATATTAAAAATGAATACAATTTAAGCTTTATTTAATTCTAAATAGAGGAAATATCATTCCTTTTAATAGTAAAATTATCCTTTATATATTCAATTGTTGAATCCTCTAGAGTTGAGTATCGTTCCGGCAAGAACAGCTTACTCTTCAAGTTCAAGAGTGAGGGCCATTCCAAAGCTGGTTTTCTTACGTCGAGCTCGTCGAATAGGGTAGCGCACGTCCGATTCTATCTGCGTCTTTGTTAAAAGAGGTTTTGGTGCGTTACCATTAAAAT